CAGCCTATATTTTATACTTCAAGGTCAGAGCTGGGGACAGAGGGAGGTAGGCTCGGGGGTGGGTGTGGGCAGGAGAGTATAGATCATCTGGGGGCTCCTCTCTACACATGGCCCTTTCCAGGTTCTAGCTCCCTCCCAGCTGTGTGTGGAGAGGGAAGGAACATTTACCCAATGCCCACCAAGTGTCAGCACCTCTGATCTTCACAACAATCCTGAAGAGCAGCTGGTGGTGTTTTCTGCAGCTCAGAAAGGTTCAGTGACCTGGATGGTACCACACACCAGGGATATTGTGGAGCCAGATTCAAACCCCCAGGCCTGTGGGCTGCTGCTGCTTGGGGCAGATCACATAGAGGCAGAGTGGTGTAGTAGGTGTTGGGGTTCAAGCCTGGCTCCACCCCTTGCTACCCGTGTGATATATAGTCCTTTGCGGGCACTGATCCTCGGTTTCTCCATCTATAAAATGAGATGTTGGACCGTTGGAGTCTAAGATTCCTTTTAGTTTTGTTCACACATCCGTCCCTTGGGCAAGGAGGGGTGGGAAGGGACTGTGCCTCATCCTGAGCTGTGATCTGCCCTGCCTGTTCTTGTGGACACAGGAGCCAAGGTAGAGAACTGGTAGACAGAGCCAGGGGAAGGCTTGTGCCCACCCCGCAGAGAGCCCCTCTCCCCGACTCAGCACTGGGTGGGCAGGGGGAGAGAGGCTGAGGTGTTGGGTGGTGAGCCGCAGCTCTGCCTTCCCCTTTTTCTGTAGCCAGAGTACAAGTATGTAGACCCCATCTGCACCTTCCTCTTCTCCATCCTGGTCTTGGGGACAACCTTGACCATCCTGAGAGATGTGATCCTAGTGCTGATGGAAGGTAACCTGGGCTTGGGGCTCTCCTTTTGCTCTGGGCTCTCCAGCACTAACAAGTTTGTGGGGGGGCAGGGGAGTCCCAGCACACTGGCAGGGAGCCATGGTCTGGAGCCTGGCACAGGCTGGGAAACCTCCTGGGGCCCCAGGCCGGTCTTGGCATCGAGCTGAGCCCTCAGGTGTGGCTGTTCCTAGAAATGTCCCCTGGACCGAACCTTCCCTTCCCTCTAGCCGCATGGTGTCCCCTCCCTGCCGGGGTGTGTCCTCCCTGCCTAGTCAGGTAACTTCCAGGGGGTGTCTGTAGCACGGGATGCTCCACCCCTCCCCCATATACCTCCTCAGTCTCCATCTGCCTTTGCTGGGGCAGAGAGAGGGACAGGATTCTGCTTCCTGTGGCACAGGAAGCAGACTGAGGCTCAGAAAACAAGATGGTGGGTGTTGGACAAGCCTCCCAAATGCCCTCCAGCTCAGTGCCTTCCTTTCTGAGGCCTCCGCCTCGGGGAGCACGTGACTCGGCTCCGGGGGCTTCCTCAGTGCTGGCAAATGGTCCGCCCTGAGTTACCACGTTCACCAGCTTCCTTGTGGCCCAGGGTGGCGGGGTCATGGGGCTCTGTGCGGCCAGGGTTAGTCCGCAGTTGGGTGCTGATTTGGAGTCAGCGAGAGTGTGTGGCTGCAGGTGGGAGCATTTTCCCCAAGAGTGTGACCAACCCGGATACAAGTGACGATGTTGATGCCCCATGTGGGTGCAGGGGTCCCCAGGTTCCCTTCTTTCCTTCCAAAGAATAGTCACTGGGCACCTGCTCTGGACCAGGCACTGTTCTAGGCACTGAGGATACGGTGGTCAACAAAGGAGACTGTCCCGCGCTTGTGGAATTTCCGTTTTAGAAGGGGACACGGGGACTGACGGGGTCATTTCAGACAGTGTCAGGCGTGAGGAGGAAAACACAAAAGGGCGATATGATGGAGATCATTTGGGGGGTGGGGGCAGCATCAGATCTGCTGGCCAGGGCGCTCTTCTGTGAGGAGGCAGCATTTGAACAGCAGGAACCGGCAGGGGCAGGAGGGAGCAGGCTCCTTAAGCCCCTGTCCCCGTGCCCCTCAGGGACCCCCAAGGGTGTGGACTTCACAGCCGTTCGGGATCTGCTGCTGTCGGTGGAAGGCGTGGAAGCCTTGCACAGCCTGCACATTTGGGCCTTGACCGTGGCCCAGCCCGTGCTGTCGGTCCACATCGCCATCGGTGAGTGGCCAGGGTCCTCAGGGCGGGGTGAGGGACAGAGACTGCCGGAGGCCTGGGGCCAGCCCCGAAGCACCCGATGACCTCACACGTCTGCAGCGGCCGCTGCTTTGAACCTGGCCCCACGCTGAGCACTTTAGAGACCTTAGTTCATTTGGTCATCACCATCCCATTTATAGATGAAGAAACTGAGGCTGGGGCTGGGGTGGGGTGGTCACGTCACTTGCCCAGGCTTTGCCAGCGCCTAGGTGGCAGCGCATAGATTCCCAGCCTTAAAGCCACGGCTGCCCCTGCTCTCCGGGATCGGGCCAAGTATGGGAACCAGAAGGTGGCCCAGTGCAGGGGTGGGATCGGGGTGGGGGGCCTTCCTGATGCCCGTACCCTGTCGTGCTGGGGGGTAGGGAATGAGCTGGGCTCCCGATCCTTCCTCAGGGCCCGAGTGAGTAAATCGTTGTCTGGTGCCTCTCCTGGTGTGTCCTCTCGGCCCCTAGCTCAGAATGCAGATGGCCAGGCTGTGCTGAAGGCAGCCAGCACCCGCCTGCAGGGCAAGTTCCACTTCCACACCATGACCATCCAGATCGAAGACTACTCTGAGGACATGAAGGACTGTCAGGCGTGCCAAGGCCCCTCCGACTGACTGCCTGGCCAGGTGTCAACTGAGGCACGGACCAGACCTGCCGCTGGTGGGGCTGAGTGTCCGCCAGGCCCAGCCAGGACTCGGGCTCCCTGGCCGTGTCATAAAGCGGGTCCCTCTCCTGACCTCTGCTCTGTGTTGAGTGGTGAAGGAACTGTCCCCTGCCTCCCCCATCTGACTAGATAGCCAGTTTAAGGATGGAGACATGGCAAGTGTAAAGCTAGTATGACCCTGCTCCTCCAGCTTCTGGGTTGGTGCCTGGCGGGGCTGGGTTTGGGTCTAATCCTCAGCTAATGCCTTCCTACCACCAGCCTCCAGAAAGGCAGGGAGGCACAGTGAGGGCTGACAGAGGGGAGACCGGCTCCAACGTCCCCTTTCCCACCTCCCTTATTCCTCATTTCAGTCTGGCCTTTGCCTTATGAATCTGTGAAGAAGTCCTTCTCCCTCTGCCTCTAACAATATGGTGTAAGGGGGGGTTGGGGGTTGTGAGGACCCTGCACTCCCCGACCTGTCCCTCTGAGGTGGGAAACCAGCAGGCCTCTGAGGCCTGCCCGTGCCTTAGTCACTTCAGTTCTGAGCCACGTTTCCCTTTCCTGGAGGGAGGAGGCTTCTTACTGCGTCAGGACCTGGCTGGTTTCTTCTTTCCTTATTCCCCCAGCCCAGGAACCCTGTGCCAACACAATGATTCCCTTGCCCCAGATGGTGGTGGTGGGGGCAGGGCTTTCAGCATGGGTCCTGCCCTCATGGCCCCACAGCCCCTGCCCCCTTCTCTTGTCCTGATAGAGTCTCAGGGATCTCAGAGCCTGCCATCCGATGTGATTGGGCCAGCGCTGTGGCTGGTGTGGCCTGACCTGCTCAGAACTTGAGGATGGAAGACAAAGAGGGGTTGGTTGTACAACAGATGGGAGACATTGGCTTCCTGAGGTGTATGTAGATTCCCGAATTAGGGGCAGCTTGTGTTTACAAGATGCAGAGGGGACACTTATCCCTGGTCTCACAGAGAAGGCAGCGCCCCCACTCATTAGGTGGCCCTTAGGTCTCATCAGAGAAGGAGAGACTAAGAATGAACCTACCTCACAGGGTTGTTGTGAGGACTGGAGCCAAAGTTCGTTAAGCACCTAGTGTTGCTTCAAGAATGCGTACTTTGATCATCATGCTGGAAAGATGCCCCCAGAGGCCACCTTGCCGAAGAGCCAGGTGGGCTTCCTAGCGCGCCCCCCCCCCAGGGGCAGCACTGACTTTGTCTTGACTCTGCCCTGATTTCGTGGCAGGACTCTGAGGAAGGGTTGGTCACTCGCCTTCCCCTGTGAACTACTTTCTTCCCATCTATGGAATAACCTCTTGATGCCGTTCAAGCATTGTCATCCAGGCTTACCTGTGATCTAGGTCAGTGGGTTCTTCAGCCCCTCAAAATCTGCCGGAAGTCATGTGGCCTGGAATTCTGAGGCGGGGGCCTGCTGGTGGCTGTGTTCTACTCCACTTCACTCTCTGGGGAATCAAACCCCTTCTCCCCTCCAGGCCCCAGGATCCTGGATCCAAGTCCTTACACCCCTCTCAAGAGACTCTGCTTTCACAGATGAGAAAACCAAAGCTCAGAGAGGTTGAGTCTATGAAGTCACACAGCCACTGTGAAGGTCTGGGGTTTCTGCCTCAGTCACCCAGGCCTCCCTCTACAGCAGGAGCTGAAAACCTTCTGGGCTACATGTTGGTACAGTGTGAGCCCTTGGGCCTGGCAGTGCCCTCCATTGGTAAGGCCATGCCAAGACAGTTCAGTGTCTGGGTGCCGAAGTGAAGGGGAAGAGTGCCTCTTTCTCTTGGCTGGGCCTGGCACTTAGAACCCTCCCTACCCTGGGAAGGCTGCCTGGGCCACAGCTGTGTGCTTCCTCACCCACCTTCAACTGTTCTTGATCCTGGGCCAGAATGCCTTCCCTCCTCTTAAACTCCCAGGCCCCCCTCCACCTCAATAATCTAGCAGCCCCATGCCTTCCAAGGGAGAGCCCTCTCTGCACCCCAGCTGTGACTGGTTCCAGGGAGGACCTGAGTCATCCAGGGGCCAGAGGTCAAGCTGGAGGATGGGGCGGGAGGCCTTGGAGAAGCCCTGGGGGACAGCATGTTCCAGCCGGCCAGGGTGAGCTAGTCACGAGAGTTTCCAAAGTGGCGAGGCCATCAAAGCAGGAAAACACCTGACACCCTGGACCTGAGCTGGACCCATCACCCCCACCTCTCTAGGGTCACCCCATTCCCCCTGCGCAGCTGCTGTAGGGGTATTTATAGCCCGAGCATGAGGGGGCAAGGACACGCACTTTATTTCGGAAGTGATAATTCCAGTTACAGGTGGATGAACCCTGGAGAACCCAGCAGCCCTTCCCCCACTCCACTGCCATGGCCAGGGTGCCCCCGACAGCCCCATCTCCCACCCAGCCATCTAGAAATGGCTTCTTAGTCCTGAGTATGTGGGCCAAAGGAGTGGGGCTGTTCTTTCAAATTCTTCCCCCCCGTTTTTAGACCTCGGGCTGCAGCCCACCAGCACTCCACATCCCCTTACCCGGGACCGAAGGGGTCGCTTACAACGCCATTCCCTTTCCGGGAAGAGGGAGCGCGGTGCGGCGCTGACCTCTAGTGGTCGTGGCTGGTAATGCAGAGCGCTGAGCTGGGCCGGCACGGACCCCTGGCGTTCTCATCCTCTTTCTCCCCCGGCCCCTGCTCTGCCAGATCGGGCAGGAAGCCCCGAAACTGGCTTCTCAGCCTCTCTTTGTGCGAAGATCGCGCCTGGCAACCCAGGCGTCTGCGGGTAGCTGCTTTACCGCCGGACTAGGAACCGGGGGTGGGGGACGGAGTTTTGTCTCACTTGGCACACTGTCCACAATCCCGACTACCGCGCAGGGCCAGGCACGCAGTTGATGTCTTCTATCCGTCAAATACTTGTGAAGCACCTGCCAGGCCAGAGAGAAGAGGACATGGCCCTGCCCTCCCGGGGCTTCCTGGCTGGTCCTGTACCTCGCAAAGCAGCATGAACAGTGTGGGAAACACCCAGATGTGAAAGCGCAGAGGACCTGGGTCGGGGATGGGGGTCAGGCAAGTCCGTGGAGGAGGCGGAGATCTGAAAGACAGGTAGAACTCAGCTCCCGCAGAGAAGCCGAGAAAGGCATTCCAGGCAAAGTATCAGCGATGGGTGAGGGCACAGTCGCAGAGCAAGCGCCTGGCACCTGTGACCCGCCACTAGCCGTGGGACTGGAGGGTGGGGCGAGGCCCCGCAGTTCGGGGCGTTGGGCTGGTTGGCTAATAGGGATCTGACGTGTTGGCTGTCAGCCTTGATCGGCTCTCCAGATGTCCCAAGGGAGGGGGATGACCCCCCCCCTCCCCCGCAGGTGCAGTGCCCCCTGGGAGCAGGGCTGGGGCTCTGTTGGTCCTTCCTAGGGCTTCTCCAGGCTGCGATACTTCTTGCGCAGCACGGACACGGGGTCCTTGAAGAGTACTGGGTCCAGACGGAGGCGAGAGGAAACCAGGGGCATGTAGCCGAACTCCGCCGCCATCCGATTGATGCAGTCCTGGGCTGGCAGCTGCGACTCGGGGCCCCCAGGCGCCTAAGGGGGAGGAGAAACACGTTGGAGGTCTCTGTCCTTCTGAACCCACCCCCATGCCCCCGAACCCTGCAACAAAACAGGATTGGGGTTAGACAGAGGGAATCCCTTCCCCAGCAGCGCCCTCCCAGTGCCGACCTGCCCCCCTGGATCCTCACCAGTGGAGGTCTGGCCTCCAGATGCTGCTTCCCGTAGGGCACCTTGAGAGGGGGCAGCTTGGTGACTGCTGCTACTAGGGAGTTCATGAGGATGTCCACACAGGTGGGTGCTTCATCTGCCAGGGCTCTCAGAGCCTTGGGCAGGGAGTGGGTGAAGAGGGTGTGGTAATACCTGGGCAAGGTGGGATGACAGCAGCCAAATTCACCCACCACCCCTCCCTGCCAGGCCCCATTCTCCTCCCTCCTGACCTCACTCTCCCTTTGACTTCAATCCCCATGCCTCTTTAGAAACCCCTGCTCCCTCTCTCAGCCCAGGCCGCCTCAGAGAGCTCACACCAGAAATACAAACCTCTCTCTACTGTTCGGTGCTCTGTGGGTCGTCTGCAGCAAATGGTGTCCTCCCTGCCCCCTCCCTTACAGCTCCCTGGGGGCCCCACCCCTGGGCTCTGAGGTCTGACCTCAGCCAGAATGAGGTGGGGGATCAGCTGGTTCCAAGGCCATTAAACATGGCAGCCCCAAAGACCGGCTTCAGGAAGGCTGTGGATTAACCAGACGATGATGCTCCAGGTGAGCCTTGTTTCACGCAGCCCTCCTACAGAACAACCTAGGTGCACCCTGCAGACCTTAGGGGCATTCTTCACTCTGCTAAGAATCCCCCGCAGAGCTCCTGGGTAAACCTACTAGAGGTTCCAGGTTACACATATTTGGTTTAAGTATGTCTAAGGAACCCCTCTAAAGGGGCCTTCCAAAATTCAGTCCCTACCCCAAAGACGAGTGCTTCCGTCAACTTCTGAAAGGCCTGGGACAGTCCCCAGCCCATCACACACACATTTATAAAGCTTTAGGGCCATTCTCTTGTCTCCACCACCACCAAATCCAAATCCCTACCCTCTACCTAGCTCTATTTAAAATAACACTAGCTACCATTTGTTGATTTGTTCTCATCTGATTATCATGTCAGCCCTGGGAAGTGAAAACATTCTCCAGATAAGGAAACTGAGCCTCACAAGAAAAGACTTGCCCATCACACAACTGGGATGTGGCAGATCCGGGCCTGGACCCTGGATCTCGGGGGGTTCTAGGTTGACTGCTGTGTTCGCTCCCACACCACCCTGCTCGTGGTTCAAAGGAGGAGTCTCTGACCCTCTGCTCCCAGTGCCAGGCCGGCCCTCTGTACCTGTGGTACAAGGCAGCTGATGTGAGAACCACGGAGAACTCGTTGGCCCTCTCGGCAGTGTAGCCCCAGCCACCCCGGGCCTCGTCCCAGAAGTGGCTCCATGTCAGGAAGCCCACCATCCGCTCAGGGAAGTTCTGCCACACCACAAAAGCGAAGTCCACCTGGGGAGATATTTAAGTGAGGTATGAGGAGGGACGTCCCGACCAGCTGGGGACATCCAGAGATACGGAGGCAAGGCTTGCCTGGCCGCGGGGACTCCGGGGAGAGGAGATGGGCGCGTGAAAGTTTCCAGGAGTGCTGGGGTGGGGGTAGGGTCCCACCTGGGAGCTAGAAACAATGCTTTTTCAGCTGGGAGCTGAAAACTGTCTTCAGGAGTCTGCTGGAAGGTTCTACCAGATTGCTAAGGAGGAGGCTGATTGGCTCGCAGGGGTGGTTTCGAAAGCAGGGGCCGCACCTCTGCGCTGGTCCTCTGCTCCTCTCTGCTCTGGGAATCTGAGGGGCTGCCCCCCCCCCCCCGGGCTCCGCCTGGGCCCCGTCCTCACCTCACTTGTGGTAAGACTGCTCTGGGCGTCAAGGCTGAGGACGGCATCAGTGCTGATGGCTCTGTGCGGGAAGAAGCGGTCACTGACCTGTAGTGGGAGGGAGGTGACGCCAACTCAGCCGTGGGAACAGTGACTAAGTAGCCTCGAAGCAGGAGCCCCCGCGCACGGGTGTAGAAGGCAGGCCGGTGACAACAGCCAGGCTGCCTGGAACTGGGACCCGGAGCTCACTGTGACTCTCCGCACTCCCCTTTCCCCTTTGGTAAAACGGGCAGAGGGTATCTAGGGGTCCTTCTAGTTTCAACGCCTCTGGATTCCTCTTGTCACGTTACCTGCTCACCTCAACCCTGGGAGGGGCTGTCAGACATCCTCCCTTTGAAAGAAACAGGTCCAGAGAGATGAAGGGACTTGCCCAGAGCCACACAGCACGCAGGTGGCTCCCACCGTCCCGGCTTCTCAGAAGCCACCCTCCTCCGGCTCCATGTGCTGCAATCTGTTCTCATTTCCTCAAGATCCCACGTTTCTCCTCTGGCTCATCCAAGGCAGCCCACATACGCCCTCTGCCTTCCCTCATCACACAAAACCCCAGTTCTCTGGAAGCACAATCCACAAGGGCCAGGGATGGAAGAGGATCATCTCTGTCGGGCCCGCAGCTGAGACCCACGTCAGACAGCCCACCATCCACTCCAGGAAGCTCTGCCACACCCACACGGCACAAGCAGTCCGCCCGGGGACATCCTTGAGTGACGGGGGAGGAGGGACTTTCTGACCAGCTTCAGGCCCGACTGGAAATCCAGATCTGGCTCAGGGTCAGGCTCAAGCAAAGCACCCTGTGTGTGCCCTCCTGGGTTCCCTGCATGCAGGGGCTGGAGCCCTCCCTCCCGTGAGCCTCCCCACCCCCCACTCCTCACCTTCCTCTGCCCCTCCAGGACTGTCAAGGGCACTGTCGTCTTGGGCCACCTGGGTGGGGGTGGCTTCTCACTGCTCCAGAGAACCAAGATCTAGGAGGAAAAGGGGGTGTTCCTGAAGTCTGGGAGAGCAACTGTATTTGTGAGTTTGGGAGATTTTAGTTGGAGCCGGGGTCCTTTCCTCGCTGCCCTGTTTTTGCCTCCGGGCTTCAGGAAGGCAGGAATTCCGGTGTCGCGAAGGAAGCTACCCATACCATTTAGAACTGGAGGGAGTTAGTGGTGGTAGCCCCTCGCCTGGGCCCTGGCCCCTCGCCCCATGCCCATCTTCTCTCAAAGGCTTTCATTCTCCTGCTCCTTCATCATTCGCTGCCCAGCTCGGATGTCCCATCTGTGGAGCTGCTCTGTCTGTCCCCGGCCGAGCTTCCCTCCCCTGTGAGTGCTCTCAAGAGTCTACGTGCCTTCTCTGGAAGTGAGATTTGACAGCGTGTGCCAGGAAATGCTAACTGAATGGGAATCTGGGGCTGAATCCTTTCCTGCTTTTTCTCTGCATCAGCATCAAGCCCACGGCCTGGCACTGAGAAAATGACTGATGGGTGAGCACACGCGTGAACGCACGTCTGTTTACCTCTCCAGGCCCCCCAAGGGGGTACCTGCTTTTTACATGATTTCATCAGTTTCCATGAGGGAGGGAGGGGTTGGGGAGGAAAGGAACAAGAATGTTGGGACTTAAAGAGGAGGGCGCTGGTGGCACTTGAAAACCCCTCCCGTGCCTCCCCCCGGAACGTATGGTTACGCTTGGGGTCTAGACGTCTTCAAGAGCCCTGCCCTTTCCCTTGCCCCCACCCTGGATCCCAGGACCCCAGCTGGCAAGGGGAACAGACCTGGGCACAGTGCTGGGAGCCTGCCACCGCCTGGATGAGCTTCAGCGGGGGCTGGCCTGGGGCCCCCACCCAGATCAGGGCGCTGAACCTGCCCACAGGCCGAGAGCCTGAGGGGAATGAGACACAGGCTGTTAGGGTGGGAGGAGACAGAACCTGCTGAAGAGTGGCCTGAGCCGGGGCCTCCAGGAGCCAGGAGAGATGTGGGAGAATCAGGGAAGGGCTTGGCAGGGCTCTATGGTTGAGGCTGGGACAGACTTGAGAAGAGCTGGTGAGGGGACTTCAAGTTGTCCCATCCCCAGGGCATACCCCGTTGTAGGTGGTAGAAGGGGAAGTCCAAGGGGCTTGTGGAAAAAGTGGGCAGGGCCAGGAGGGCGCCTGGGGGGCTGTTCCACAGTAGCGAGGGGTGAGCAGATGCTCCAAAGATCCGGTCCTGAATAATCTGTGAAATGAGAGAGGGCTGTGCTGAGGGAGTGGACTGTGTGGTCGTGGGCAGGGTCTGGGGAAGTGCGGACCTGGCCTAGCACCCAGCCCCCCGCAGCCCCCCTTCAGGCTCCTGGGAGGGCAGCAGCTGCATCACTGTCCAAAGGGTTCAGGTGCAGAAGTCCAGAGTAGGGGGCACTCAGTGATGGTGTCCAGAGATGGCTCATGATGGTGAGTTTGCTGCCTCCCTTTCCTTCCTCACTCATGGCAGACGTTGCCAACAAGTCACAACATTCTTTCCGGGCCCAGAATCCCCTTTAACACAGCACCCCAGGCAGCCGCTGCCCATCACCGGGGCTGACATCTTGGCACTTGCTTTGAAATCTGTTGGCCAGAGCTGTCCCTCTACAGATGGGGAAACTGAGGCCAAGACTGGAGAAGGAACTTGTCCAAGAGCTCAGAGCCAAGTCTCAGATTCATCCCAGAAGCCTCTTCAAGGGGGAAGTCCAAACAGCGGGGTAGAAGAGGTGTCCAGAGAGAGGGGTGTGGAGAGGGAACAGGGATGAGGCCGGAGCCAAGCCCCACGGCCCCCATCATGGAAGTCCCCCTCACCTCCAGAGTGGTATGGATGACTTTCTCCACTGAGGAGAAGTAGGCATCCCATAGAAACTGGGTCTGCTGACGCAGGGCAAGGACCCGTGTGGGGGGCATCTCCTGGAGGGCAGCAAGGACCTGAGGCACAGAGGGAGGAAAGGAGAAGGCATGGCACCTTGTCAGGCTCTGACTGACTCTGAGGTGGGACCACCCAGGTTGGCGGTCTGGGAACCAGAAGCCTTCTCCGCACGGTTTTCCAAGTGGGTTAGAGCAGCCGCCTTTGGCCAAGTCCCAGGTAACAATCAAGAGTTCAAGGATCACACAGAGTTGGGCCTAAATGCCACTTCGTAACTGTGTGACTATGGACAAACTACTCAACCTCTCTGAGTCTGTGTCCTCATCTGTAAAATGGGGATAATAATAGTATCTGCCTCATAGGGTGGCTGTGGGGATGAAATTAGATTAATACAGTGGCACCTGGGGGGCTCAGTCGGTTAAGTGGTTTGCCTTTGGCTCAAGGTCATGATCCTGAGGTCCTGGGATCGAGTCCTGCCTCGGGCTCCCTGCTCAGCTGGGAGTCTGCTTCTCCCTCTGCCTCTGCCCCTCCCCCTCCCCCTGCTTGTGCACACACACTCTCTCTCTCTCAAATAAATAAAAAGATCTTAAAAATAAACAAATACATTAGATAATATACATTAAGTGCTTAGCATATGGTAGAGGCTCAGTGGCTGGTAGCTATTATTATTAACTACCATACCATTCTCACTTCTCAGGGGATTCAAGGCTTATGCAGGGTTTTCATAGTCAGGCAAAATCAGTTTCATCAGCTGGAAAAGTCACTGCATTTTGCTTGCCTACCCCAGCCTCCATGGAGGCACTCAGATTTTGGATTTTTTGCGGCTTTCCCTTAAATTGGTAGAGTCATGGGCTGGGCCCGTGGAGATCATCCGGTCTAACTTATCCCATTGTAGAGATGGGGAAACTGAGGCTGGAAAAGGCTCAGGACTTGCTCTCAGAACCCTCAGGAGTCTCTGCCTCTCTATGATCCTATGGGAGCCCCAGAGGCTTGGGGCTTGGAGCAAAATCATGAATATACACATATGGGGAATAGGAATGAGGACTGAGATCAGCCTGGGGGCTGAGATCCCGGGCTCCTCCCATGTCCTGGGTCCAGTCCCACCCTGTGGGCAGCACCCTGAGCTACCTGAAATGGGAGCCTCTCGTCAGCTACGATGGCCGCCTTGGTCCAATCGATGACCTCGGAGAAGGGCAGCTCCCACCGAGGGCTGAGAAGCACTGGGATGCAGCCAGCCTGGGGGGAAAGGGGAGGCACTGGGGAGCCCAGTCTTATCCTACACACACTTCCCCTCCCCCAGTTCCAAATTAGCAGCTGCTTCCGTTGGGGGCAAGGGAGAAAGAGGAGAGAAAGGTGGTTTTTTGGGCAGTGGGTTGTTCTACAGAGGGTGTGGTAAGCGTGGGTGTGGGCAGCTCACTGTCCCTTCCCATCGGCCTGGGCCCAGAGAGCCTGGCAGCTCAGGAGTGTGGGGGGACAGGGCCAGGGGATGCCTAGGTTGGGGTTGTACCTGCAGGGCTTGGAGGAAGTGCAAAGCATCAGGACGGTGGCCAGGGATGAGGCAGAAGGTGGCATTGGGTAGCGTTGCCCCAGGGTGGGTCCTAAGGAGGTACAGGAGGGGTCCCACACATATGAGGTCTGAGATAGCTGCCCCTCGCCCCACCTGGCTCCCTTGACGTCCCCCCAACTCCCCACACCAATACTCCCGAATTCACAATGCGTAAATCCATCATCTGTGCCTCATATGTTAATGAACACCCACGCACACGTACAACCACACATGGAACACTGACACAAACAAGCTTCACACCTGCCCCTCACCCATGGTGGGCTGGGAGGCAGGAGCCCTGGGTTCTAGTTCTGCCTCTGCCCTTGGTGGGCTCAGGCATCTCCCCCCTTCTCTGGACCTCAGTTTCCTCATTTGCAAAATGGGAGGTGGCGGGACCAGCGGTTTCCAAGGCCTGGTCTGAAACCAAGGCACACCCCCACTGCTCTGCCACCCGCAGATTCTCGGGCAGCCCTCACCTGAGTGGCCTCCATGCCCTGCCTTCCCCCCATCCCAAGAGCCCAGGCCCATGAAAGGCTCCTCTGTCAGGAGGTGGGCTGGGCCCCCAGCCTGGAACCGCACAGGAAGCTGCTGCCCAGAGGCCCCCTCGCCCAGAGGACAGGCCTCCTCTGTTCCTCCCAACCCCAGGGCCACACTCAGGCTGTGTTTGTTTGTGGGGGGAGGGGCTTGAGTCACAGCCTCCTCGGAGCCGCCTCCCTGGGACTGCCCACCCAGGGAAGCGGTGCCCGTGACCTAGCTGCTGGGAGGTGCAGGGAGGGCGTGGAGGGGGCAGGACTCCTGGCTTCACAGGCCTGCTCAGAGTGGGACTGATGAATAGAGCTCAGAGGTCCCAGGACCCTCCTCAGCTACAGCCTGTCTGGCCTGAGTCTGAACCATTGAACAGATGGGGAGACTGAGTCTCAGAGAGAGCCAAGGACTAGCTTAGGGTCTCAGAAAGGGTTAAGGCAGAGCTGGAACTAGAACCAAATAGGCTAACTCCTGCCCCTGGGTTATTTGAACTACCCCGGAGCTGCGGCTTAGGGGTCTCCCAGGGGCTCTGCCTCCCGCCTCTGTCTCTCCTGCTCAGGTGGCCACCAGGCTTCCCCTGGAAGAAGCGACACGTTAAACAACAGAACATTCTCTAACTCATTGGTGCCGCAGCACCAGCCAGCTACAGCCCTCCTCCCCTCCCCAACAAAGCCCTAAGGGACTGAGAAGCCCTCAGTTCCAGGCTTCCGAGACCCCAGAGACAAAGAGCTTTCTGAATAAACTGTACTCCTCAGTCCTCACTAACCTCCACCGTTCCCTCCTCTGCGTCTCTGTATACCCTCCCTCAGCCTGGAGCACCCCATCTCTGCCTTATAGCCCAAGGAATTCCTCCTACTTGATCTTTTTTTTTTGTAAATTTTTTTGTTTTAAGATTTTATTTTTTATCTGAGAGAGAGAGCGGGAGAGAGAACACAAGCAGGGGGAGCAGCAGAGGGAGAGGGAGAAGCAGGCTCCTTGCCCGACTTGGGGCTTGATCCCAGGACCCTGGGATCATGACCCGGGCTGAAGGGAGACGCTTAACCGACTGAGCCACCCAGAGGCCCCTCCTCCTACTCGATCTTAAAGTCTAAGCTCAAACCTCACCTTCTCTGGGAAGCCCTCCTTGATCTTTCCAGAGAAGGCTCGCTCCTCTCTGCTCCCACAGCCTCTGTGTGCACACAGTAGTAATGACCACGCCGAGCTTTACTGAGCACTGCTCTAAGTGCTTTACCTGCGGTAACTCACCTCCCTGTCACAGCACTCCCTCAGAGACCGGAGGTCTGTGTTGCTAGTCCCCTGCTTTCCAGATGAGGGAACGGAGGCCTAGAGAGGCCCCACAGCTCTGAAGTGGAGGAGCCAGCGAGCAAGACAGCTTGCACAGCATCTCTCTGCTTAACAGTGTGCGTCCTAACCAGGGGTCTGCCTGCCTTTCCCACAAGACCGAGCAACTTGAGGGCCGGGGCCCTGCCTTCCTCATCTTAGCGTCCCCACGGCCTAGCGGAGCACCTGGCCGAGACTGGGCACGTAATAGCTGGTCAGTGAACGGATGCCCGGCGTGTGATAAAGCATGGACCCAGGACCAGGGGGCCAAATGTCTGAAAGGTCAGTTTTGGCACCAATTCTAGTAATGAATCTGGCTGACAGGAGCCAGGGGGTGGCCTTGGGAGATGGTGAGATCCCCATCAGTAGAGGTAAATAAGCAGAGCTGGATGAGCACCTGCCTTTGTGTCTGTGTGTCTCTGTGTGTGCTATGGAGGGGACATCATGGTAACTGCCAATGAAGTCTTAGGGTTCTGTGACCATACAAGGTGTTTGCCACAGACTCAGGGCCTCAGTGCCCAAGGATGGAGTCAATGTGGCTCCACTGGGCTCTCTTGCAGCCTGGCTATAGGCAGGGCCACATGTGACTTCTGTGTGCCCTAGGTACTTTGGCCTTTGGGGTCTCTCTGCCATAAATATTATATATATAAATTAACATTTGATGATTGCATTGGTATAAAAACAAAAACACTGGGGTGCCTGGCTGGCTCAGTTGGTGGAGCGTGCAACTCTTGATCACGGGGTCGTACATATTTTAAGATTACTTAAAAATAAATAAAAATAGTAATATTATATATTAGGGGCACCTGCGTGGCTCAGTCAGTTAAGCATCTGCCTTTGGCTCAGGTCATGATCTCAGGGTCCTGGGGTGTCAGGGTCCTGGGGTGTTGGGCTCCCTGTCGGGCTCCCTGCTCAGCGAGGAGCCTGCTTCTCCGTCTCCCTCGCCCCACCCCACCCCCGGCTCATGCTCTCTCTCTCTCTCAAATAAAATCTTTAAAAACATATATATTAAAACATTTTCTTCTACTTAAAAGTACAGTTTTTCCTTCTGATTTTCAAAGGAATGAAAACGTTTTCCTGGGTCCCTGAAAGTACCATGGGTCCTAGGCACTGCGCCTCCTAGATGCAAAGGAGACTTTAAAACATGCATTGAATTTATGTTAAAAAACAAAAACAAAAACAAAAACCTAAGTGGGGGAGAGCATACATACGCATTGTTTGTGCACACACAGAATACCTCAGAAAAGCCGTGAGAGAAACTAGAAACGGTGTTTGGCTCCAGGAAGGAAAACCGGGTGGCCAGAGACACGGGTGGGAGGGAGTTTTACTGTATACGCTTTTGTGCCTTTGGAATTTTGTACCCTGTGAATGAATTCCCTATTCATAAGAATAAATAAATAACAATTTAAATGGGTGGAGGCTTATTCCAAAGCAACAGGAGACTGTTCACTCAAGATGGAAAAATGGCTCTGGAGCCAGAAGTGCCGGGTTTATGCCCAAGTCCGCAGGCGCCCCATCAGAAACTCGAGGGAGGCCACGGTGAATCAAGGAGCTCGTCACCGAAGGGCCTTGGCTGGCTCCCTCCACCACTTTGAGCCTCAGTTTCCTGTTCCCTGAAATGGGAATAACAATGCCTCCCTTGTAGGGTACTTGAAGGCACGTGACTTGTGCAAAGTGGCCCGGAGCAAGCTCTCCTGACGTGTTCGCTTCCTCCCCTCCCCCTCTCCCACCCTCGCCAGCCCAGGGAATGTGGGACAGTGGCTGTGGGACAGTGGCAGGGACTGTGAATTGCCTCTTTCTCTGGCCAATACTTGCTCATTCAGGCCACCTTCCGGGGGCTGCCCTGTGGCTGGTGGCCTCCCTCTCTCCCTCTGTCCCTATACTGTCTGGCTGCTTCAGGCAGCTGCCTGACACCTCGGGGAAACTGAGGCTTACGCTACTCCAGAGATCACAAGGCCTGTCCCCTGCAGGGGGGCTGAGGCCAAAGACAGACCTTGTGAAACTGCAGAGGGTAGTCAGAGGCTGCCAGGCATCACACCCTGGAAATAAACTCAGCCACAGGGCGGCCCACGCAGATAAGAAAGCCCTGACGAGTTCTGGCCGATTTGGGATCAATCGGTAAACATTTGGTGCGTCAACAGTTCACCTATGGTATGCAGCTCCCTAATTTCCAGTCTCTCAAAGAAGTTCAGACTGAAATAGCTTTCAGATTCACCAGTGCAGTAACTCAAGTCAGCCGCAAGAAGAACTTCCTATAAGCAAGAACGGCTAAGAGCCTAATCAGAAAGGTCAGGCGGGGCCATGGTGAACAAGAGAAACTTGTTCACTGAAGGTAAGCTCTGTCTGAGCTCTGAGCTTCAGGGGCCTGGGGTGGGGGGATCCCCATCACTGCTGAGGACGCCTGCTAGGGATGGGTCCGGGCAGAAGGGCCTGGGGGCTGATGAGGCAATTGCGTTCCTACCTCTGGCTGTGGGGCTCCCTGGAGGCCCTGTGCCTTGAGGGAGTGCATTCCCAGGAGAGCCCTCTGGCTGAGAGAAGCCCCTGAGAAGCAGAGGCAAAAAGGGAGCTTGGCCACGTGAAGCATTCCTAGGGGGCAGGTGTTGCTGAGAATAGCCCATGTTGTTCTAGCAGAGAACAGGGAGATACCGGAGGGAGGGAGCAAGGGAAGGACTCCAAGAGTGACAGGTTCCAACTCAGGTCTGCCCCAGAGATGGAGAAGGAACCCTCTGCTGCCTGGGCCCTGGACAACCTTCAAAAGGATTTGAGTTCCTGCCTGCCCAACCAGCCTTCAGACACACCGGCCTCCTGGGGGTGCAGCGGGGTTAGGGTACTTCGGGGTTAACTGCTTTATCACCTGAGGCCTGTCACTCCAACTAGCCCACAGAGAGGGGTTTCTGAACAACTCTCCATGTCCCATAGGCCACCACACCCCCCTATATGTCTCCAGGCAGTTGTGGGGGTGGGAAGTTCTTCTGTAGGTCTGACCTCATTCATATTTGCTGTTTCCTTAAGAGATTAATCCGTCAAATTAGACACCGGAGCAGCTTCCATCTGTGACCAGTTCTTAATCTCCATGGCCCTGAGGTATCTGATGGGTTGATCATACACTCTTGGTTAAAACTCAGAATTCTAATGCTGAAGGCTTTGGAAACAGGCAGCTCTGGATTTCAGCACTGGCTGTGCCCTTTCTGTCTGGATGGCCTCAGACCAGTTACTTAACCTCTCTGAGCTTAGTGTCTGGTACACAAACAAATGATAGCAATTAATATTATTTTATTATAACCATTATTTATAATTTAGCACAGAGTGAGCACAATAGATGTGTACGTTAAAATATTAGGAAAGGAGGAATTGGAATAAGAGAAAAAGAGTAAGCAGGAGTGAGTCATATTTTTGTTTTTACAGATCCCCGAGGGAGAACTCCAAAACCTACTTTGGACACCCCGTGTGACAAAGAACCATCTTGGTGGGGTCTCTCTCTGTCTAATCTGATTCCCTCTTGCTGCGGCTGAGGCCAGAGTTTGCCAGGCCTCTGGTTCTCTCGTCCCATCTCAATCCTGCCCTCCACCCTGGCCTCTGGGCTCACTCCCATTGCAGATCCCTCCCACTCAGCACCCCCCACCGCCCCGGGGGGAAAAGGTCCACTTACTGCTCAGGTCCACGGTCCTGCTCACAGCGCCCATCCCAGGGGCAGGCAGAGGAGTCAGGGACTGCTGTGCGCCACCCGCCCCTCTCCTCCGCCAGGGCTAGCAGGGGCACCCCAGGGTGGGGGCTGTGCTGTCCCAGCCGGCCAGGGGCCCCACCTCGCAATGGGTGGGCTTCAGGGAGAAGCGGGAGGGCCACGTCAAAGCCAGGCCGGAAGGTGTCCACCGTGGGGCTGGCCTTGGCCACCATCGCCTGTCCCAGATGAAAGGTCTGGGGGCAGAAGGCTGAGTGGAGACTGAGGACCAGATGGTTCCTGCCCCCATTCCATTGCTGGGGCACTGGGCTGCACTCTCCGGTGGGGGCTTCCAGGCTGAGGAGGAGGAGGAGGCAGGCCTCATCAGGGCTGACGGAGCGGGATCGAGAGCTCTCAATGGAAGCCAGGATCCCACGGTGAGTGTCAGAGATCGGGCCAGCCACCGGGTACACGAACACCTTGAGACCACCACCCCTGCACTTGGAGACATCAAAGCAAGCTCCCCAGTCGCAGCTGCCACCACGGGGGGCTTGAGGAGGTTGAGGGTCATCTTCTGGGAGCTCCCCAGGCTGGGAGAAACTCTGCAGGAGCTCTGCATCCAGCCAGCGGGGCCAGCCTTGGGGGGCCCCTACCCAAGGTCTGGCAGGCACTGCCAGGCGGAGAAGGGGGAAGACTCTCAGAAGGACGAGGAGCCAAGAGGCCGACAGTGCCAGCCAGAGGGACTTTCTTCTCCACGACTGCATGTGGCCACCCGCAGCCAGGGCTGGGGGAAGCAGGAGGAGCAGGGGCTTGAGGGCGAGTCGCTGGAGCTGGGATCTGCCTTCTAGTTCAGCGCCTTCATCGTACAGATGGGAAGACTGAGGCCCATTGAGAACAGGCTGCCTGTGTGAGGTCACACCGCAAGTCACCAGCCAGGCACCAGGAGGCCAGGTAGGACCCGGCTTCGTGGCCTTGCCTTCTTGCAGTCAGGAATCTACTTCCTTGGCCTTTGGACAATCAAGCCAGGCTTTGACACCCCCACCCCCACCTTGCCAGCAGGGCCCCCTGCCCCTGGGCACTGCTCAGGCTGATGCAATCCCCTGACCACACTGCAAGGCCACGTCCTTCTGCCCTCTTGGCTGCACCCCCTGACCTTGGCCTCAGCAGGGAGGCAGGCAGTCTGCCAGGCCATGGGGGACCCGTCAGGGCTCTCACAGGAGGTGGCTTGGCCAGGGTGTGTGGCTGGACAGAAGGGGGGCTGGCCTCCCCAATCCTCCCCTTGCCTGAGCAGCCCCTGAGTAGCCCTGGCTGCCCCTGTGCCCACTGGCGGGCACTCCCAGGCTGTGGGCCCTGCGGCTGGAGCTCAAATTAGACTCAGCGGCCCATGTGGGCTCTCAGGGTCGGTTGGGGTCAAGGCCTGGGTGCAGCCGGCGCCCCCTGCCTGGGGGGCTGGGAGTGCTCTGGGTCCTAGTCCTCTCCCCCCCCGCCGCTGTCCCCCACTCAGGCAGCTCGGCCCCTCCCCCCCCACCCCTCTCAGCTGGTCCTGCACCCTCTGACTTGCAGCTATCCCGGTGCCGACACCGGGGACCCTGCCCCACGCTCCTGTCCCATGGCCCCCCAGCCCTGCCGGGCGTCTCGGTCTTCTCCCCCGTTCCCTCTCAGGGCAGCATCTGGCCTGACTGGATCTCTTTCCCAGCCTGGCTCCTCCCTTGCCAGCCCTGATTCGTTCCTGCCTGGGAGGCAGGGTCTCTTTTTAACCCATTCCAAACCAGTCTCCTCGATGGTCAATAATCCTCACCAGCAGGACCCACACCTCACAGATGCCTCGCGCTATCACAGCTTCTGAACCCACACATCAACGCTCCAAGGCAGAGGTTTAGCACTGCCATTTTTCACAGGTGAGAGAAGTGAAGCTCAGAGAGGGTGGTATCTTCCTAACATGTGGCAGGGCAGGGACTTGAACCCTGAACTCCTGACCTTCCTCCTTAGAGCTTCCCACTGGTCACCCCAGCAGGGGGGTCCGAGTGTGGGGAGTCTATCAGTCAACAGATGAGAAAAGTGAGGTGTGAAGTGAGGGGAGGGGCAGGTGGGGGCGGGATGGAGTGGGTGGTACTGGGTAAGATGCTCTCAACTATTCCCAGGATTAGCCCCACCTCATCCAGCTGCAGCCTTTTCAGGCCCACTTCTGGCACCTCTCACTCAGGTGTCCAGGTAGGTCTGCCCTTGCCTGGAGCTCTGGAGGGAAGGTCTTGATGCTCATCCTCCAGTCCATATGGTAAGTTCTGCCCGACGTTGAACTTGGCTATCCATTGGTCCACGGCCATTGAGGGGTTCCCCTGCTCAGTTCCTTAGTCTGTGCTCTGAGAGGGGGGTCAGGAATGGGTGATGTCACCCACTAAAGAATTGCTGAGGTGAAGGGGGAGACAAAGCCCCTGGCTGCCAGGAGCCCCAGTCTGATGAGGGAGGCCATGTGGAATGGGCCGACCTAGAGCGAACTCTGCCTCCACCTCTGAACAGCTGGATGATGTGGGGCCTCTGTCCCCTCATCTCAAGATGGAGGTAAAGATCTTCACCGTGGGGCGCCTGGGTGGCTCAGTTGGTTAAGCGACTGCCTTCGGCTCAGGTCATGATCCTGGAGTCCCGGGATCGAGTCCCGCATCGGGCTCCCTGCTCGGCAGGGAGTCTGCTTCTCCCTCTGACCCTCCTCCCTCTCACGCTCTCTGTCTCTCATTCTCTCTCTCTCAAATAAATAAAGAAAATCTTTAAAAAAAAAAAAAAAAGATCTTCACCGTGAGGTGGTTTTCAGATTAAATCCAGGCCTATCCCAGGGGGTCCCTCAACAAGTGGCCACCTCCTTTCCTTGCTTGCCTGCCCCTGATCTCAGAGGGCCACTGATCTGACCAGGGAGAATGTTTTGCCCTACGTGGGAATGTTTTGCCCTCAGTGGGAATGTTTTGCCGTCCCATGGGCAGCATGTCCTAGGGAAGAGTACAGTTCATTCACCCAATGTCCTCAAAATGGCCAGCACAGGGGAAACCTGGCCTCTTTGCCTACAGCGTCCATCACTAAGTGATGGACTGACTTTCCCTGCACACATCAGGCTTTCCCAAGGGGAGAGAGGCCTTTGCACTTGCTGTTTCCTGCTCCTGCCATTCACCCTGCTCAGCTAACTCCACCTCATCCGACAGGAATCAGCTCCCCTCCTACAGGAAGCCTCCCTGACTCTCCTTGGGCTGGTTGGGGCCCTCCTCTAGGTTCTTATGCCACTTCTTCATCCTTCTATCCCTGTACTCATTCATTCATTCATTCATCCAACAAG